ATAAAAATAATAACAATAATAATAATAATAATAATAACAATAATAATAATAATAACAATAATAATAATAATAATAATAATAATAATAATAATAATAATAATAATATTGATAATAATATTAACAATAATAATAATAATAATGATAATAATAATAATAATAATAATAATAATAATAATAATAATAATAATAATAATAATAATATTGATAATAATAACAATACCAGCAATAAGAACAATATTAATAACAATTATAGTATTAATATTAATGACAATAATAATAATAATAGCAATAATAATACTAATAGTAATGACAGTAATAATAATGACGGCAACAATAATACTGACAATCTTATGAATAATGGTGCCAATAACAATAATATTGGCAAGTATTCAAATTTCATCCAGGGCGAAACATTCAACGGGACCGTAAAAGCTCAAACTTGTAAGAGTGGCGAAACCAATGCGGCGACTATTCAGACTACTCTAATTCCCATCTTGCCTTCACAATCTTTTATAGATCCACTTGTTCCACCAGTTGTTCGTATGACAAAAAAGGCAGTTGAGGCTGGTGACAGTACGTACATTTTGTCTCGCTTTAGAGACAGGGTTGTCTATGAAAACGTTAAGCTTTATCTGGCTTACTTACATGACGCGGCGGACACAGTGCATCATGAAGGCAAGACTCAGTTCAGCATAAAAGTTTTCATAGAAAGTGAGGGTCTCCCCTCTGATTACACTCTCCTCCTGAGACTGTACAAAAGATTTCATGAAACTTTAAATATGCAACCTGAAAGTGTCGAGAAGGACCTTCAGACTTATCGGAAACACATGAAGAGTAAATGGGTTGATTACTTACAAAGAATGAGGGAATCAAACGATAGGTTTTTTCTTCCGTCGGGATCCTCTAAATCACCATCAAAATGGTTTAAATAGTGACGGACCCACCCTCAAAGCCTCCCATAGTAGTCTTGTGACTATTCGTCCCATCAAATCATCTGTTTTCCCTAACATATTTTACCATAATTGCAGCGGTTTGAGAGGAAAGCTTAAAAATCTCTTTATTGACGCTAAATCTTGCAATTTCAATATTTTAACTCTTACGGAAACGTGGTTGAACGATTCTTTCAAAAATGAGGAAATACTTGACAGTAATTGGTCTGTATACAGAAAAGATCGTGATTATACAGCTACTGGTCAATCCAGGGGTGGGGGCGTTTTGATCGCCGTCAATAATCGGTTACCAAACCAATTGGTATCCACTTCAGTTTTTTCCACATTCGACCATCAATTTATCAAAATATACTCAGGTAGAATCTATACCTATGTGGGAGTGGTTTACTTCCCCCCTAATTCTGACGAATCCTCTTATAACGATTTCTTTACCATATGTAACGAAATATTTTCACAAATGCATGAGGATGATGAGATAGTTGTTCTAGGTGATTTTAATCGGTCGGCTTTGTCGTTTATCAACGATGAATGTGATAACCATCTTCTTCCAGTCAACTTCATGGAAGACATCGATTTTAATCTCGTTAGTACGTTCTATGGGAACGACTTGCAGCAGGTGGTACGTTACCCAAATGAAAGAGGTAATTGGTTGGACTTAGCTTTCTCAAATGCCTATGACAGCATACGGGTTCGACTTGCTACAGACGAAGAGAACCTTTTCAAAAATTCTATTCATCATAATGCAATTGTTCTCGAATTTCCTAATAACAAACTTAAGTTCTCTAAATCTTACAATAAAGAGATTGTATATGATTTTCTTAACGCCGACTACAACAGCATCAATTATGCTCTTAGCTTAATTAATTGGAACGATATGTTCCATCAGGACAATTTAGACAATATTATCTCCGATTTTTACTCTATTTTGTTCAGATTAATTGACGCCCATGTTCCAAGAATCCTTAAAAAGGATAGACTGGCGGAACCATGGTTAGACCGTAATTTAAGACAATTACGTAATCGGAGAAATAAATTATACAATAAAATTAAGCATTCTAGGGACAATAACTCACTTATTAATGAATATAATGAGTTGGCGAATGAATTCAAAAATAAATCCAATGAGGCATATGATATTTATATCCAAAATATAGGCAGCTCGATTTTGGGGAACCCGAAAAGATTTTTTGACTTTGTTAACTCCAAACGTAAATCGTCGGGATATCCGAGCTACATGAGCAAGAACGGGTTAATATCATCTTCTAACTCTGAGATTTGCAATTTTTTTGCCGATAATTTTCAACAAACTTATAGATTAGATTCTCTTTCTAATTATGTCTATACCCCCACTAGTATAGATAACGGTCATCCCCTTTTTAAAGATGTTCATCTTTCAGTAGACAACGTACTTCAGGGTATTTGTGACTTAGAAACCAATAAAGGACCTGGACCGGACCTTATACCACCTATACTTCTTCATAACTGTAGACACAATTTATCATATCCGCTTACTTTGATTTTTAACAAATCATTATCCTCTGGTTTTTTCC